AGTGGCCACTGCTATTGCTTATGCCATGAATACGGAATTCTCTAAGGTGCTTGCAGAACAAATGCAGTTCTTTAGTCATTCACGCGAAGTGGAAGCCATTTCAAAAGTGCATGGACAAATTGGCGAACTAAAAGACATAATGATTAAGAATATAGGTGAATATAAATGTGGTTAGGAGTAGCAGTGTGAAGTATGAAATATGAAGTTAGTCACACACACATAGTCAAGGAAGCTTTAGAAGTGCTTGTAGGCAAACAACTTTTAAATGCTCATTTGCTTACGGAAATACAGTAAATTAGGCCACCCAGTTTTGCTTTTCTATTTTCTTTTTGTACCTTTTATTCTATTATTTACTGTTGCACATTGTTTGTCTCACAAAATGTTATTTTCTATAATTTTGAAACGGGTTAGTTTTCACGTACAACTTTAACCACAAAACATCTGTGTCTCAATTACTTTAACGTATCAAATTTATTTCATTTTTAACTTTTGTACCCCTCACATAAAAATGTTTACTTTCGTGGTGTTAGAGAGACGTTGGAGAATTAAAAAAGTATATACATATGTTTTATATAAAATTGATTAACACGATGAGATGACACATAACCGATATTTGATCTATTCTTACTCGATCTCCCCTCTCACACTGCCATCATCTACCTTAAACCCATCTTTCTTATGCCGTTTATATTATCTGGTTAATTGATCTCTGCGGGCTACAACAACAATAACAACAATAAGAAGGCAAAACATCACATAACTTATATACCTTAAGGTATGAGTTACATGAATCCATGATTAATTTTTCTTGTTTATAATAATTATAAATCATTCTGAAAGCTACAGCTTCATCAGCAATATGGGCCAAAAGAACATAATTGTTCTTGTCAGTACAACCATACTAATTTAAAAAATATATATTTTTATACTCGTACATTATCTTCAAAAACAAAAATCAAATATTTGAAAAAATTAAAACTGATGAAATATTATTTTAATTTTTTATAATTCAATTTACTTACATAATTTTTAGTAACAAAACTCCAGCAAAAATATGCGAACAAAAAAGTCAAGTACGGCTTTGGATCAGTTGGTTAAGGTGCGCTGATTCTGAGCTTTTGTTGTTGTTTCACTTCTGTTCGAAAACCTCTTTACATAATTTTTATTATATAAAATGAGTTTTAATTATCACTTGTGGGAAAAACATCTCAAGAGAAGATTGCAATTTTTTTCATTTCTAAATAAAATTTGTTTTAAAATAAATATTAACAAACATAGGGAGAGAGTTAAATATAAATTCCATAGAATGACGTTAACAATAATTAAGTAGAGTATCAAACCTTTGCTCTGTAGCAAATGTTATCATTTTGCGTTTGTTAACGCTTGCTGTGTATATTGTTGTTGTTGATGTAACCCACGGAAATCTGTAAAGCAGATAATATAATTGGAATTACATGATTCCAAGAACAGCCGGGTCTACGTTCCGGAGCCATTCCCGAACAAGTGTCGTTCGATACCTTTCAGAAGGACTTATAAAGCAGGTCCCAGAGGGTTACAACAACAAAGATTGTCAGCTTGTTTAGATTGTCAGTAAATTTTGAAAAGTAGTTTTAAGTTCACTGTTGATACATAAATATCAGATTACAAGTAGCAGGGTTCGCACGCGGAGAATTAATAATTAGAATTGAAATATTGAACATTTTCAAAAAAACTTTTAAGCTTTTATTATTGATCTTAAAATTGATCGTCTTCAAATTTTATATGGTAACACAGTGGACGAACAGGTCTAAGTGGTTCATTATTAGGATCGTTTTTATAATCTAATCTAATCTGAGGTCTGTAAGGTTATTATTTTAAAAACAGTCACTGAAAATTTAATTAAAAATATTTTTAAAACTAATTCTTTTTTTTTTTTGTAGATAATCTTAGAGATCGCGGAGAGAAACTAGAACTACTTGTAAATAAAACGGAAAATTTAAGCAATAATGTAAGTGAATGCTTTCAAATAAATATTTATATAATGTAAGATTATAATATAATTCTTTATAATAATTTTGTTTAACTTATAAATTATATTTAACTTTTTTATTTATTATTTATTTATTTATTATTTATTTATTTATTTATTTAATTAAAGCGAAAGAAAAAATCAATAAAAAATATTAATATAATCTAAAAATACCATTTCGATAATCTCTATGCGAATCTTATGTTGTATAAATATATTAAATTAACTTAGTATCAATGCTTCTTAACTAAATGCGCTATTATGTTACGTATGTTGCGTTCATTAATACTGCCCAGACAACCCAGTACTGAAAGACTAGTCAAAACATATATTAGCAAACTTTAAATCCATTAAAATTTCGTTTTGAGAAGTATACTAAACACTTCTCGGTACTTCAGAAACACGGATTTTCACAGAGATCTGAAGGTTGTAATAGTTAAATTATATAGAAAAGAAAAAAGTATTAAATCTCTTCAATAAAATCCGTTCGAATCAAATAACCGTACAAAAAAATCCAGAATTACACACACTAAAAAACATATTAGGCGCTTAATCTATGTAAGCATTAAAATCATGTCACGATTCCAGTCAGAGAACTTTGTCAACTATCTCTCTAAACCAACTAAAATTTCGTTAAACTACACACTTAATAACCAAAAATGTGAAAATACACATACTAAAAAAGTATTGGATGATATATATATTAAAATAGACTGATATATATACTAAAATAGACTAATATATATACTAAAATAGACTGATATATATACTAAAATAGACTGATATATATACTAAAATAGACTGATATATATACTAAAATCACCTTATAGACTTAGTCAGATACTAATAGGCCCACCGATAAATATAATAAAATATTTTAGAGAACTTGATTACCAACTCAAATAAATTAAGAAAAAATAAATAAATAATTAATAAATAAAATTATGCTTATCATTGTTTCGGTCATTCACTTTTATTTTAAGCTATTTATATTTTTAGAGTGCAAATTATCAAAAATTCAATTAATCATTTCGTTCATTCCGAAAAATTATAAGTATTTTAAAATATTTAATACACGACTCTTATAATCTTAAAAATTATCACATTCGTCTATAGATACGATATGTACCTTGGAGCTTTTTCTAGAATTATTAAAATGAAAATAAAAATTTGATGATTTATAGTCTAATATATATAATAACATATAATATCAATACTAGGTACGATAGTAGTGTAACACAAAAATACAGCAAAGGCATAAAATAATAGAGAATAGATAGATAGATATATAGATAGAAATAGATAGGTTCTCGTTCAAGCTTAGATGTGGGGTCCGTTTAATTAATTAAGAACGGATTGCACTTTTTGAAAATGTGTTATAACATCAGTTTCTTTTATGTATATATATATATATCCCTGAATATATTCTATTGATTTATATATATATATATATATATATATATATATATATATATATATATATATATAATTCCTTGTTTCATCATATATATTATTATATATTTATTAATATTTATTATATATTTATTATGTATATATACTAACTTTTTTTATAACTATTAAAATTGTCGTTTTTTTTTTCATTATGGTGGGATTGTCGTTTAATAAAACTTTTAATTTATTTTTCAGTCAGTCGCATTCCGTAAAGCATCACGGAACTTAGCACGTCAAATGTTTTGGAAAAAGATACGCCTATATGTCATCGTTGGATTCGCAATAATATTTGGCGGATATTTAGTTATTAGTATGATTTGTAATGGCCTTTTATGGCAAAAATGCTTGAATTAAATCACATAATTGATAACAAAAGAAACGAAAGGGTAATAAATTATAGATTAGTTTTCATATACACACACATTTTATAAAAAGGATTTTTTTATATTCCCTATAAATATTTCATATGTTATTTTTAAAATTAATGTCAAAATAATTATTTATAATTTTAATTCAAATATTTTAAATAATTATAATAATAATTATTTATAATTATAATTAAATATTTAAAATAATATAATAATATGATTTATTTTTAATTATAATTACTATTATAATTATTATTACAATTACTATTATAATTATTTTCATTATAATTATTATAACAATTGGCTACAATTATTAAATTTTTATTTATTTCTATTCTTATATATGTTATTCATTTGCATTTGTTTATTTTTTTGTAATTGTAAATTAGGTGATCTAACATTGTATTAAAGTTAGGCAATAAAAGCAGCCATTGCTTGGAAGAGCATTAAAAATATATAATATAGTCTACTTTAAGTGATTGACATGGACGAATAAGATATATTAAATAAATATTGTATGAAAAAAAAAAATTATTATAATCATTATTTTATTAAATTTAAGAAAATATCGAATTATATACATGTTCGATTAAATTAAGTAAAGGCACTTGACAATAATAATTGTAAAAATTTATCGCGCTTGGTCAACCTATAAACGTCTGTTTTATTCCCGATTTTTTGTTTTAGCAGAGTTGTATTCCCCCACACAGTTATATTTCGACTATAGAATTACGTATTGACAAATATTAATGTTTTTTTATTATTTTTTTCGTTGTAGCCTGAAGAGAATACATGACGAATACATGTATTTCTGCAGGTCCCAGCGGGTTACTACAACATTAGAATAGTAACGAGAGTTTACTTTTTAGAATTACTTTTATTATTTAGGCATTTGCGAATCTCAATAGAAAACTTTTGGTTGGCTTTTATTTTTTATTTTATTTTTAAAGTTTTTTTCTAACTTCTAAGTTGATAGTTTTAGTTTAGACACTAGTCACACAATATATATTTAAAGTATTTCGTAAATTTACGTCAGTAAAATGAACAAAGGACCGTTCAGGTGTTAGCCTCTGAGTCGCTTTTCCATACATATGATCTAGTGCCACTCACTACTTCCAATAGGAATATCAACAGGTCTTTTCGGGTTACAATAACAAGTACAAGAAGTAATGTTTAATTTAAAAATTAAAATGTATTTAAAAATTTATACAAATAAATTGTAACAAAAATCATTTTAATCGGAATATATGTAACAAAGATTATATATACCAGTGACCTAATAACCTGTTAAAAACATATAAATATTTTTAAATAAAAATTAGAACAAAAAATTAGGTAAAGTCAGTTGCATAGCCTAACTCTTCAAGAATCTTCCACATATACCACATCCTTATTTTTGATTATGCCAGCTTGACGTAAACCCAAATGTATACCCAACACTGGTGAAGGATATTTTTTCCATTTTCTGATACTATTTGTAATAAATGAATGAAGGACAAAAAAATCAACAGTAGGTAAATTAAATAAATTATTTGCATAAAAAGTTTTTGAATTACCTATTTAGTGTTTTCAGTGGTTCATTGTCAGGGTCACGTTTTCCAGTTACGACATCAATAGTTGTGAACAAGCAGCGTGTACATGGTGACACAACTCTAAAAACAGCTTCTTCACCAATTTTAATCCAACCCCAACTATCTTCTGCATATGGTTCATCTACATCCATTTTCAATTGGAAATTACCACGAAATTGTAAACAATTAACTGGGCGTGGTACATGCGTATTAAGTTCCGATATAGAAGCTAAGTTCATTAGCATATAACTGGTAGCATCACCAAATGTACCCTAAATAATATAGGAAATTATTAACATAACATACCAACGCAGTCTTATTATACATACTGTATCTTCATTAGTTATATGTGGCTCCTTAGCCATACGTTGTCTGATTGTGCGTACTGGTTTTGGGTATGGATAATATACTAAATGCAATCCTTCTTCCTTATTTAGAATAAATTTGGAAAACCATTTATCATACTTATCACCACATAACATAGCGTCTAATTTTGATTCCCACACTGTTGTGTGCACATCTTTAACAGGTTCTTCTTCAGCTATTTTTGCTAAATTCAATACTATGCTTTCCATATTTGGCGCCGAAAATTCAATTCTTGTAGCATCCAAAACTTTGGTAGCAATTAACACCATTTGCGGATATTGTCGCCCGGTAACAAACTCATAATTTTCATTAACAATCATAAATCCACGATCACGAAAACTATCCAAACGTAAACCTAACACTTCACATGCCACTTCGACGTCATCAGCGAGTTTTAGTGGTGCACATGATTTCACTGGAAATAAATTGACTTGTTCCAATGTTCCTACACGTCGCCATTTCTGTGGAGTAGCCAATGTCTTGAAACGTTTATAATACCAATAAGATATACCAGATAACATTGTTATACCCAAACTGAAGCCGATGCTATACAGCAATGTATTGGATGTCGGTGGTGCATCTGCAATTGAGTAATCCATTTTGTTGTTGATCGAGTATTAAATATTAAAAATATTTTTTGTACACTTACTAGACATTTTTAATTGTTTATTAAAAAAAATTATAAAAAATAAAAACAAAAATATAAGAAATTTAGATAACGTTTGTTTGACTTCTGCACTCTCGCTTTGTATAGCAAACGTTTTACTATTGTTAAGAGGCAGACTGCCAGCTGCTATATTATATGAAAGAAAGGAAAGCCATAAAAATTGTGGAGTGTCAATCAAAACAAACCGACCGAAAGAGAGCGCCGTACATTGTGGGTTAATGTACAGCTTTTTATAGCTTTCTCACTTTAGGAACATTGAGAGAGAATGTACAACGTCTATAGCTGGCATAAGTGTGTCATTTAAACAGGTTTCTAGCGATAGGTAAACTATGTGAAGAAACCATATACCATATGAATGTACATATATATTGAAAACACTATCAACAATATTTTGCCGGTTTTTGACTGAAATGATTTGATGATTAATTTATTTACGAAATTATATTTGTTTTTGAGATTTTAGATCTATTGCATGTAGACCTAATATTTTATATAATTTTTAATTAAAAATTTTAATTTTTAAATATTTTAGAATTTATCACTTACATACTAATTTAGCTATAGTCTTAGTCTGATAGCATCTTCGCTTTTTATAAGTCTTAAAAATATTTGTTTGATAATAAAAGAATAGGAAGATGTTGGCAATTTTAGCAGTTTGTATTGTAAAAAGTATAAGAAGTTATAGTCTTAAAGCAAAAATCGGCATTACTGTTAAGCGAATTCAACTTTTCTCTCTTAGGATGGACTAATGAACGTGGTGGTTTAGGGTCAAACCACCCTCTTTGATAATACAGCAAGTCCGGTATGAATGTTAAGAAGTGCGAAACTATTCAATGTCTTAGATTTATTATGGAAGAAATAATTATTACCTTAAAAAATTTCTTATTATAAACTGTGTAAAGTGACCACACGTTAGTCGTTGTGGCTACTGGAATAATCACTTGCCAGATGCAAGTATTACATTATCTATTTAAGTACGCCACAGGTTAACTTAACTAATATAAAGTGCAAGTTTAATTTTAAGCTTATAATCTATACAGGCGGATACCCTTGTTCACATTATCTAAATTGAAATAAAATAGAGTGCTAAATGACCACTAGTTAGTAGTTACGATTACAGGAATATCAGCCAAATTCAAGTATCAGATTAATTATTTAAGTACGTTACAGGTTAGCTTACCTAATATAATATATAGTAAAAGTATAATTTTAGGTTCATCGCTCATGCAGGGGTGACCTTGCTTCGCAAGACTACACCAAATTAAAATAGAAGAAAGTCTATTAACAGAATAAAATTGGAATATATTTTTATTTGTATTATTGACTTTGTCAATTATAGGTATATGTTACTGCAGTGTTGCTAAGAGTAAAGTCTAAGATAACTATTTAATAATCTTATCTTGAATTTGTTTTTAATACTAAGTGATTTTATCAAAAAGATTATAAAATGTAAACAAAAACAGTATGGTCGTAAAAATAATACAAGCCCACATTTTTAGATATATTACAAATGCAAGTATTTGATTGATTTACTAGAGTTTGATTAAAGTTCCAGTTTTGTGGTTATAAAGTTGCTTGAAATAAACATCTAAGCTAGACTATATATTGAAAATTGGTTTAATATGAAACTGCATTGCATTTACGTCCAATGTAGAAATTTTTTTAAATTTAGAATTTATATACCTATGTATTATAGTAAAATAGAAAAAGAACACTTGAGACATATTTATTGTACTGTCATAGAGACATGTTAAGGGGGCATTGTGTTTTCCTAGTTTTAATGTCATTTATTTTAGAAACTAATATAAACAGCAAATTTTAGATATATCTAAAATATTTACTAACTAAATAACTTATTTAAAGACTCTTGAGATGCGACATAACGCACGAAAAAATAAAGTTGTTCCGCTAAAATTGAAATCGAGACGAAAAGAAGATAAAGGTGAAGATTATACCATCATTGGAGTCAATATATTTTCATGATATTAAAAGTTTTTGAATTATATTACAATCTATCTGTTATATTTTGAAATGTTCCAAGAAACTGAAATCTATGCATAACCTAGTCAGATCAACACGTCTTTTGGGGATAATCACCCCAACTGTATTTGAAATCTCTGTTTGTCTAACCTAGCCGACCAAGTCGACTTTGGATTTCAGCAAGACTGTTTTGATATATATATTGTTTTGTATCTAGGGAGTACTTAATTAAGTTCTTAAGTAAGTAGATATCTTATGTATATTTTCAAAATGAGTTTTAAATAAATGGGACGATAGGATTAAGCCTCAGCTGACCTCTGACCATCGTAAATGTAATTTTAGTAATTGTGGTTAAAAGGAAGGGATTGTGCACTGCGACCTAAAAGATCTGTTGTGCCAGTAATTGCAGTTACCAAAATTATATTTTTCAGAATAGCTAATGATACATCAAACATAGAACTCAAGTAAAAAACCGTGGAAAAGAAGTCGAAAATGATCTAACAGAAAAAGTTTTTGTGGTTCAAAGAAACATTTTAAAAAAAAAAATTTTTCATAGTAGTATTAACCTATGAAATTTAAATTAGTTAATAAATATAAAATTTTATTAATAGAATATTTGACAATACTTATTCGCTTGATAATCCTTGATAGTAAAACGATGTTTGCTCTAAAATACTTACACTTCTTGGTTACAAAAAAACCTGATAATGTAATTCTAATACAAACAATATTTATTAAATTTTATTTCAAATCTCAAAACATAATTTTTCTGAATAACAATGTTAAACTAAACCTTTAACTTCAATATACTTGCAAATGAAGAAATTTCTATTTGCAATTAATCTATTCATCCACTGAATTGTCTTCTACGTACATAATATCGTGCATTTTTACATCACCAGCTTGACGTAGACCCAAATGTACACCAAGTAGTGGACTCCCATAATTTTTCTTTCTTCGATAGCTAAAAAAATATTTAAGATTATGATAATTATAAAAAGTTTTTTGAATTTTCCAAACCTGTTTAAAGTTTTGAGTGGTTCATTGATTGGGCTACGTTCCCCAGTCTTAACATTGATGTTAGGAAGAATACAACGACCGCATGGAGCTACTGCTCTAAATACTGCATTGTCTCCTATTTTAATCCAATTCCATTCATCTTCAGCATAGGGTTCATGTTTATCCATTTCAATATAAAAACCACCACGAAATTGTAATGGGTCTACTGGATGTTCCATGCGTGTATTTAAATCTTTTATAGATGATAGATTCATTAGCATATAACTGGTTGCATCGTTATAGGCACCCTATAATTGTAATATTAGTGCCAAGAGAAAATTAAGTTTGTTATTGAAAAGATAAAGACAAGAAAATAAGGTAATAAGATCTATAAGGAACGAATCTTACGTCAAGAGTTTCGCTAGATTAAACTCAAATTTACATATGCAGTGTGATTTCTTGTTTTAAGGGTCTTGTTATATACACAGTCCCGGTCACGATCACGCTCACGTCAAATGTGAAATTGTTACTGTTTTCAATGTGGATTAAAAAATTGAGAATGAGAGTGAGAGAGAAATTTCAATTTAGTCACTTGGTCCTGGTTGCAATACTTCCCATTCCTCATCACGTTGGTTAAAACAGTGTCGCTCAGTAATAAATGTCAGAATTTCTGGCTTTAGGAGTAAGTATGTGGATATGTAAGCATATTCAAAAATTACCCCTTAACTTTATGTACAAAAAGTACCAAAATAGTAGTAAAGGTAGTAGTACGTAATTTGCCGTGACCTTTTGTCACATGCCTATCTGTATAACATGGCCCTAACACACAAAGCAAATTGTATAGGGATGGACCCAATAAAAAACATGGGCAAACATTTTATAAAAAAATTTAGAAAAAAAATTTTTATAATAAAAATCTTAATGTTTCAGAAATATAAAGACAAATCTTTGAAAATCTTGCAGCCCATTCTATACGATTTCATTCGTCCCAAGGTATTGAATCTTGTATTTTTTTTAAATTTGGTTAAGATATAGTCCACATATATTATGTATATATTTATATATTCTATTATTGTTTATAAAGTTTAATTAATATACATTAATTATTTAATTAATATAAATAAAATTCTTTTAGTTTGTATATTCTTTTCTAATAAAACTAAACAGTTATATAAAAAAATATATTTGATTTAAATATCACTTACTGCCAATCTATTTTTAAGTACTTAAAGTAGATATATAAATGGTATCAAAACAGATAAGAAAACAGATTTCATAAGTTTTAAAAGAAGGTAATCAGCTGTCTTACAGATATAGTTGAAATTTGTACAAGATTTTACTTACCGTATCTGAAGATGTTATATGTGGTTCCTTTCTCATACCTTTGTCGATGGGCTTGGTAGGTTCGGAATACGGATAATAAATTAAACGAAGCCCACTATCTTTACCCAACAAATATTTTGACAGCCATTTATCATAAATCTCACCACATGATACACCTTTTACTTTGGAACCAAATACATTGGTGTTCACATCAGGTTTGGTACTATCCTGAGCAAGTAAAAAATAATACAATTCAATATTCTCCATACCGGGTGCTGATATCATCAATTTAAATGCGCTTATTATTGTTATCTTGATCAATACGCATCTCGGATAAGTACGGGCAGTTACAATTTGATTTTTCGTATCGATGATCATAAATTGCCTATCACGTAGTGTAGCCAAACGTAGTCCTAGAATATCGCAGCTTATAACCGTGTCAGGTGTGAGAATAAGCGGC